TTCCCCGCTCTTCATATTCCAATGAATTATTAAAGACTTGGCTTCAATCACACAGATGCATATGCGCGCACACACATTATATAATAACCACATATCTTGCAAGCTTCTGAAAACTGAAGAAGACAAGAAATCACCTCCTGAAACCTAAGGAGTCATTTGCATCAGTAAAAACAGCAAAGGGTCTCAGGTCACTGTAGAAACTGAATTATTTTATAATGATACTAGCCGTCCCCTGCCACGCGTTGCTGTGGCCCACATGGGGGTTCTGTGTGGGAGGTTTGGCCCAATTCTATCGTTGGTGGAGTTCAGAATGCTCTGTGATTGTAGGTGAACTATAAATCCCAGCAACTACAATTCCCAAATGTCAAGATTCTATTTTCCTCAAACTCCACCAGTGTTCACATTTGGGCATATTGAGTATTCGTGTAGAGTTTGGTCCAGATCCATCATCGTTTGAGTCCACATTGCTCTCTGGATGTAGGTGAACTACAACTCCAAAACCAGAGGACACTGCCCACCACACCCTTCCAGTATTTTCTGTTGGTCATGGGAGTTTTGTGTGCCAAGTTTGGTTCAATTCCATCGTTGGTGGGGTTCAGAATGCTCTTTGATTGTTGGGGAACTATAAATCCGAGGAACTACAACTCCCAAATGATAAAATCAATGTTTTTGAGTGAAGGACATACATTGGGTTGTTAGGTGCCTTGTGTCCAAATTTAGTGTTAATTTGTCCAGTGGTTTTTGAGTTCTGTTAATCCCACAAACGAACATTACATTTTTATTTATATAGATAAGTTTTTGTGAAGGGCAGAGGTCCAACTCATAAACATTTACTCATAAATAATATAATTGCTTCAGTTGCTCTTAATCATTTTGTCATAATAAGACTTGGTTTATTTGGGGGTAGGGGTCTTGGTGGCACAGCAGGTTAAACCGCTGAGTTGCTGAGTCAGCAGTTCGAATCTGCGGGATGAGGTGAGCTCCTGTAGTTAGCCCCAGCTGGAACAAAGAACTGAAAGTTCAGTTTCTCCAGCCCAGTATGGCCCCAGTATGATTTATTTATTTAGCGTATTTCTACCCCGCCCTTCTAAAACCCCGAGGCGGGACTCAGGGCGGCTTACAAAAGGCACAATTTGATGCCAACACAACAATAAGATAAAACATATATAAACAGCAATTATAAACAATTAAAACAATCAATTATACATCATAATCAATAAAACCAATCTAATGCTCAACGTTCGCCAGCTCAGAATCCATAAATTCATTCCACATTGTCAAATCCTATCAATTCTAGTCGTCATTGTCCTTTGTCTATCTGTCAGATTACCAAAAAGCCTGGTCCCATATCCATGTTTTTAATTTCCTTCTAAAAGAGAGGAGGGATGTCGATGACCTAATTTCCCCGGGGAGTGAATTTCACAGGTGAGGGGCCACCACCGAGAAAGCCCTGCTCCTCATCCCCACCAACCTCAGTTGTGATAGAGGTGGGGCCGAGAGCAGGGCCTCCCCAGATGATCTTAAACTTCGAGGCGGGACGTAGAGGGAGATGCGTTCGGACAGATACGCTGGGCTGGAGCCGTATAGGGTTTTGTAGGTCAAAACCAGCACTTTGAATTGTGTTCGAAACTGGATCGGCAGCCAGTGGAGCTGACATAACAGAGGGGTAGTATGCTCCCTGTATGATGCTCCGGTGAGTAATCTGGCTGCCACCCGCTGGACTAATTGAAGTTTCCGAACAGTCTTCAAAGGCAACCCCACGTAGAGTGCGTTGCAGTAATCTATTCGGGATGTAACAAGAGCGTGGACCACTGTGGCCAGATCTGACTTCCCAAGGTATGGGTGCAACTGGCACACAAGTTTTAATTGTGCAAAAGCTCTCCCGGCCACCGCTGAGACCTGGGGTTCCAGGCTCAGCGAAGAGTCCAGGATCACTCCCAAGCTGCGAACCTGCATATGAGTGGGGGATATGTTCCCGGACTTTGTGTGGATATGCAAAACTACAGATAATAAACCATATTAAAATGAAGGATTCCTGGCTCAAGAACGCCATAGTTGTGCTGGGGGACCCAGAAAATGCCTAGCGGGAATATAATTTGTTGGACATGGTGCAAGTCCCGTGGATTCAAAGGTTGGTTACCCAAGATTTAAGATTGGTTGGGGAGACTATTCCAGAATATCTCAGTGGTGATATCCTGGATGTGGAACACATCTCCGCCAAACATTCAAGAGTTTTTCCTTACTTTGTTTTCATTTGTTTTGTATTTCCCCCGTTACTTGTTTGGTTTTATTGTATCTTATTAGATAATTTGGGGAAAAAACAGAATTTTAAACGTGTTATTGCAAAGCCTGGAAGCTGCCCTGGGCGCCTATGAAGCAAGGGAGATTATAAATTCTGTACAATTGTTGATGATGTGTGCCTTTGCATAAGAATGGGGAATTGGGTAATTGTTCTTTAGGCAGGTTAAATGAATAAATGCCATGTGGTATGGCAAGAGCACAGCATAACTTGGGCTCAAACTCACATGAACATTTTAAAAATAATAACCAAAAAGCAATTTGGAGTGGAAAGAGGCTGCTGTATACCATTCCTGTCTAATGGTAGAGCTAGCTTTGAGCTTGTGCTAACGGACATCTAATGAGTTTATATGCAGTTTCCAGGCCATGCAGTCACCCTGGATATCTCATTATCTATATTGCCAAGTGGATCAACAGTTGCGGCTCCATTATAACATGTGTATTTTTTTATTAAAAACTAAAAACCCTAAACACTGGCAGTGCTCTGTCCTACATTGTTGTTGGGCTTCATTAAACTAACAACTTGCCTTTTAAAAAAATCACAAATACTTTAAGCTTTTTATTTCCCTTGAGAAGTCCACATCGTTTCAGCCACCACATTCAAATGATACAGACACTGCTTGAAGTCCCACATATAATTTTCATTTTGGGATGGTGTTGTTTCAGAATCACTTATAATGAGACACCATTTCAAGGAGTGGAAGAGGATTCATTAATACTTTCTTGTTGCCAGGGGAGAAGTATTGGTTATGACGTACATCCTTATTCAAAGCTGTCTTTGACTGGTTCAGATAATAATAATAATAATAATAATAATAATAATAATAATAATAATAATAATTTTTATTTATACCCCACCAAGGGACTCGGAGCGGCTTACATGAGCCCAAGCCCAACAACACATCAATAAAAACAAAAAGCAATAAACAAAAAAAATAAATACAATCACATAAATCACATATAAACAATAAACAATGAACATTAACACACAAGGATTTAAAAAACCTATGGCCAGGCCAAATGTAATAGTTTAAGAATTTAAAAAATAACGCTGGGCATGAACGAGGTAGGATATATCTGGTATAGAGTTTTAAAAGAGATGAGGGAGTGCAGTCAATCCTAAACCAGTAGTAAAGTGCATTCTGAGGATATATTGCTGGGAATTTTCCTTATTCTGGGAAGGCACACTGGAACAGCCACATTTTCAGGCTCCTCCTAAAGACTGCCAATGTTGGGACATGCCTGATGTCCTTGGGAAATGAGTTCCAGAGTCGGGAGGCCACCACAGAGAAGGCCCTCTTCCTCGTCCTCACCAATCGCGTCTGCGAAGGAGGTGGGAGCACGAGCAGGGCCTCTCCAGATGATCAAAGAGATTGTGTGGGTTCGTACACAGAAATGCGGTTATGCAGGTAGGCGGGTCCCAAACTGTTCAGGGCTTTGTAAGAACCTGCACCTTGAATTGGGACCGGAAAATAAACGGCAGCCAATGGAGCTCCTTAAACAGGGGGGTTGACCGCTCCCTGTAAGTCTCACCAGTTAGTAACCTGGCTGCTGCCCGTTGTACCAGTTGAAATTTCCGGGCCGTTTTCAAGGGCAGCCCCACGTAGAGTGCATTACAGTAATCCAGTCTGGAGGTGACTAAGGCATGGACCACCCTGGCCAGATCCAACTTCACGAAGTACAGTCGCAGCTGGCGCACGAGTCTTAATTGTGCAAAGGTCCTCCCGGCCACCGCCGACGCCTGAGCTTCAAGCGTAAGTGATGAGTCCAGGAGGACACCCAGGCTGCGGACCTGTGACTATTCAAACTTGCCGAAGGCTTTCATGGCTGGAATCACTGGGTTGCTGTGAGTTCTCCAGGCTGTATGGCCATGTTCCAGAAGCATTCTCTCCTGATGTTTCACCTACATCTATGGTAGTCATCCTCAGAGGTTTTGGGGTCTGTTGGAAACAAGGCAAGTGGGGTTTGTATACCTGTGGAATGCCCAGGGTGGGAGAAAGAACTCTTGTCTGCTGAAGGCAAATGTGAAGGCTGCAATTGCCCACGTTGATTAGCATTGAATAGCCCTCCACGTTAGCTGTGGTTAGAGGCACAAAACCTCTGAAAAAGTAAAAAACAAAAACAAAAAAGCCAATTAAAAAAACTTTCCTTTTTGTTTGAGAGAGCATTTCTCTAGGAATCTGTAGGCTCTCCAGTATGACTTTATGGCCAGCTTCTGCTGGAAGGCGACTGCAGATTATTGCTGGGGGACCTACAGATTTCTAGAGAAAACATTTTGATCAAATGTGAATAATTTTTTTTGGTGTCTTGGTTTTAAGGCCTGTCCTTGAGGCTATTTGAGGTGCTGATTCAGAAAAATTGCATTGGATAAACTGTATCAACCCTAGTTCTTAGATATGGTTGACATTATTTTCTGTGGCAACCAATAGATGGCAAATGTTCTGTATCTTAAAAGCTAGAGCTGATAGAGAGAAACTGGTACCATTTTTGGAATCAGCAGGTGAAATATAGACCTGCAAATGTGGAGGGCCAACTACATGATACACTTGTATCATGGGCAAGGAGAAAGGTACGGTCTAAATTAAATCCATAAGATATTAAGTCAGCAAAAAAACTAAATAAATAAGAAGTTTGTGTTTTGGCTTTCCCTATTTCATTATGAATAACATGGCTTTACTTTTCTCTCTCTCTCTCTCTGACAGAACCAAACAGTACAGACTTTATGGAGTACACTGCTGGAGGTGGGGTAACTTTGTGGCCGAGGTACTGCATGAAGGCCGCGGCCACTAATTGTGTGAACTCTGAGCAGTTTCATAATAGTGAACTCCCTTTATCTTGGACATATGAGCAAAAGGGTGAAGAAGAAGCTGCCATTAGAAAATCTCTAGATACGTTTTATGGGACTTGCTGCCAGAGGACGCCTTTTGGAGGGAGTCCAGCATTCGAAGCGGCTTCACAAAGTGTGTCCACCAAAATTACAGACCTAGCAGGAAAAGAAGGAACAGAGTACATGCTGAAGAGCCTACGAGTCGCTCAGATGGTTTTGAACCGAGAAAGGGAGAAGATGTTTCCTCAACACTCCAGTGACACCTGTTTTTCAACTGCCACCAAAGCTGGCTTGGGTTTAGAGGAAGCAAAGGACGTGCCTGGACTCTCAGATGACATCCTTCAGTTTATCTTAAAGCAGAGGACTACTAAATGAATTCTCCCCCAAATAAATTTTGACCTGTACACCCCCCCCCCCCCCCCAAACCCTTTTAAAACTTATATATGAGGGGAAGAAAGGTCTTCTGGAGTGAGAACTGGTTGCCACAGTGCCTATGCAAGATCACGTGTACGTATAATAAAGGCTGAATTTAGTAAATTATATAATGAAGACAATATTCTATGACACATTTTGTTGTCAAATTCCTACTTGACCATGACCTTGGGTTAGTTACATTTTCTCAGCTTCAGAGGGAGGCAATGGGAAACCTCTCCTGAATTAATATTGCCAAGAAAACCTGTAATAGGTTTGCCTTAGGACAGTGGTTCTCAACCTGTGGGAGCCCAGATGTTTTGGCCTTTAACTCCCAGAAATTCTCACACCCGGTAAACTGGCTGAGATTTCTGGGAGTTGTAGGCCAAAACACCAGGGGACCACACAGTTGAGAACCACTATCTTAGGATCATCATAGATCTGAACCAACTTGACACACGACAATCTGAAGAAATGTTGTGCTAGATCCTTCAGCTATTTCCTTGTCAACATACGGAGCTGCCTTTTTGACAGGAACAGCCTCTTGTTACATCTATTTTTTATTTACCGTATTTCTATCCCGTCATTTCTCAACCCCCGAAGGGGGACTCAGGACAGCTTACAATGGGCACTGTTACGATGCCACTACATAACAATTACAATAATAAAACCACAATTGAACATAAGTCATAGTTAAAAACAATACATAAGCAATCATTAAAACCATAAATCTCATCAGCCGTATCGCTGTTCCAGTCAATGTCCTTCTAAAGTGCTGCTTGCATCTATTGTCCGAAAGCCTGGTCCCAAAACCATGATTTTAATTTCTTTTGGAAAGCCGGGAGGGAGGGAGTCAATCTTACCTCAATCGGGAGTGTGTTCCATACACGGGAAGCCACCGCCGAGAAGACCCTGTCTCTCGTCCCCACCAGACGCATTTGTGCTGTTGACAGGAGCGAGAGCAGGGCTTCCCCGGATGATCTTAGATTATGAGGTGGGACGTTGGGGTGGATGCGTTTGGACAAGTAAGCTGGGCCAGAACCTAGGCAACTTAGGCAACAGAATCTACGCAACAGTTTTGAGATACTTCAAAATATGACGCCATGAATTAGTTCTCTTCAGGAGAACTTTCAGGAGTAGGACTCCCAGAATCCCCCAGCTTCCCACCAGTAGGGATGAGGAGGCAGAAAACCAATCAAATCTTCTGTAGGGGGAAAAAACTGTGTGTTTGATTTCCATATAAACAGTTCTGACACGTTTTAGCTTCACCTTTTAGGTTCATATAATATCGCTTCTCAGCCTGCTGGCTAAGATCAAGTGTAGTAGTAGGTTCATATAAACAGTTGTGACACTTTTCAGCTAACATAAATACCAACGTGCAGTGAGTCACTTGAGAGATTACTAAACTAGCCTTTTTCCAGGCAGTTTGAGATTAGGCCATTATTATATCATCCTTACTTGTTAAGGCTCTTATGACATCACCAGGATATCAGCCAATTGGTTTTCTTCCTACTGAGCTCATTGGCATACTGGAAGCCAGTTGGTGCAAAGATGGTTATTGTTACAAACCCAGTTCTTGTGCTCGTTGGAAAAGTTGAATATTTTGCTGTCTTAGTTACTGCAACCTGCTGCTTTTCTGAATAGGAATGGGCCCTGAACATGGAGTAGGAAAGTGCATATAAAATTGGAGATAAGCATAAGCATCACAAGCCTATTCCCAAAGGTAGGACCAGTTTAATTTCAAATAGCTAAGAATTGCTTTACTTCTCCCCCATTTGCCTTGTAGGTGTCTTTATGTTTCTGACTGTGAGAGCCGTTCAGCAGTGGAACTCTCTGCCCTGGAGTGTGGTGGAGGCTCCTTCTTTGAAAGCTTTTAAACAGAGGCTGGATGGCCATCTGTCGGGGGTGCTTTGAATGCAATTTTCCTGCTTCTTGGCAGGGGGTTGGACTGGATGGCCCATGAAGTCTCTTCCAACTCTTTGATTCTATGATTCTATGTGTAGTAGTAGGTCAAAAACAGTGATAGGATAGCTTCATTCACAACACCAGTGCCACATCTCAAATGGGTTGATTATCTTCCCATCAACTTTTTAGCAGTATTCACTGATCAGCTTTCAAAATCGTACATAGAAATGGGAATATGATGGTGTAACGAAATGCCTAATTAAAATGTAAATTTTAGGTATATGTATTAATCTTGGGATATAAGTGCTGGCTAGTTGTGGCCAGAAAGAAGCCCAGGCATGGCCATAGCGACATAACCCTCCAGGCAGAAGAGAAAGGGCCGGAGCCAACTGCCACTGAAAGAAAGAACACCGTATTGTCGAAGGCTTTCATAGCCGGAATCACTGGGTTGTTGTAGGTTTTTCCGGGCTATTTGACCATGGTCTAGAGGCATTCTCTCCTGACTTTTCGCCTGCATCTATGGCAAGCATCCTCAGAGGTAGTGAGGTCTGTTGGAAATAGGAAAATGGGTTTATATATCTGTGGAATGACCAGGGTGGGACAAAGGACTCTTGTCTGTTGGAGCTAGGTGTGAATGTTTCAACTGACCACCTTGATTAGCATTTAATGGCCTGACAGTGTACCATGCAGCTGTGGACAAGTCTACATAGGGACCACCAAACGCAGCATTGCCCAAACACAAATCAAGGAACATGAAAGGCAGTGCAGACTCCTTCAACCAGAGAAGTCACACATAGCAGAGCACCTGATGAACCAACCTGGACACAGCATATTATCTGAGAACACAGAAATGCTGGACCACTCTCACAACCACCATGTCAGACTACACAGAGAAGCCATTGAAATCCACAAGCATGTGGACAATTTCAACAGAAAGGAGGAAACCATGAAAATGAACAAAATCTGTTACAGTAAGTTGTAACAGGATCAAGTATGTGTGTTCGTGACCTCATGGACCAGCCCACGCCAGAGCTCCCTGTCGGCCGTCACCACTCCCAGCTCCTTCAAGGTCAATCCAGTCACTTCAAGGATGCCATCCATCCATCTTGCCCTTGGTCGGCCCCTCTTCCTTTTTCCTTCCACTTTCCCCAGCATCATTGTCTTCTCTAGGCTTTGCTGTCTCCTCATGATGTGGCCAAAGTACTTCAGCTTTGTCTCTAGTATCCTTCCCTCCAATGAGCAGTCGGGCTTTATTTCCTGGAGGATGGACTGGTTGGATCTTCTTGCAGTCCAAGGCACTCTCAGAACTTTCCCCCAACACCACAGCTCAAAAGCTGGCTACCAGTATTAAAAAAACTCTAAAATTACAACAGCACAACAACAGAGAGAAAATAAGCAAGGACACCTAATCACCTCTCAACAAAAGTTTGCTCCAGGCATTGTCAGGCCTTTATATGCTAATCAAGGTGGCCAGTTGAAACATTCACACCTATCTCCAACAGACAAGAGTCCTTTGTCCCACCCTGGTCATTCCACAGATATATAAACCCTTTTTCCTACTTCCAACAGACCTCACTACCTCTGAGGATGCTTGTCATAGATGCTGGCGAAGCGTCAGGAGAGAATGCCTCTAGACCATGGCCATATAGCCCGAAAAAACCTACAACAACCCAGAAAGAACACTGTTTGAAAAAGGTCAGTTGGTGGCCAGATGAGCCTAAGGATGGTTGGTTCTAGTTATGTGGAGCTACACCAAGTAGTTTAAGCCTCCAACAGGTAGTCAGAAGGAAAAGGTGGCTCCAGGTAGTGAGCCAAGTGTGTAATCTTCGGCCTTGTGTTTTTAAGGAATAAAAGTATTTAACTCTGAGGCAAAATCTAGCCGGGATGCTAGAGGAAAGAGATTCCCAGTTGTTTTATTGTGACTTCAGTGTCAAATCTGAAGCAATAAAAGGGACTAAGGAAGGAAACATTTACTCCACAAGAAAAATATATTTTTGGATTTTCATAAACATAAATGACCTTTTAAAAATAAAACGAAAAATCAAACTTCCACAGCAAGCTTATAATATTAATCTATTTGTCAAACATGCAGAGGATGGCAGCTCAGCCGCTGTGACTCATGCGACTGAATTACACCAGTTAAAGATGTGGCCTTTGGCCTATTTTAACATTTTGAGCTCTTTTTCTCATAACGAGGCATCTTTAGACTTCGCAGCCAGTTTTCTCACTGCACTTTTAGCAGTCGAAAGGCAAAGGCATCACGCTTCACAGATTCAACAAGGTCCTGCACTTAAACAGGCGGACACACAGCCGAGCCATACTCAAAATATTTCAACAGCCCACTTCCCTGAGGAATTATACTCTGTGGTTCTTCAGTGTTTACACTGTCTCTTTCCAAGTTATACAAAGCAGGGGAAGGAACAGAAGGGGCATGAAATCCCCAGTTGAAATCCTGCCAACTGATGTATGCCCAGAGAGCCGTCACAATCTGCAGGAGTATTATTAACAACCTGAGAAAACTGACAATATTCCCCCACCCTGCATAGGTTTCGCCATCCAAACACTGCAGAGCATGATTAGAGTATCCCATGGGGAGAAGGGGATTCTTTGCAATCTCTCTACAATTCTGTATCCTTGAGAAGCCATTGAAATCCACAAGCATGTGGACAATTTCAACAGAAAGGAGGAAACCATGAAAATAAACAAAATCTGGCTACCAGTATTAAAAAAAACTCTAAAATTAAAACAGCAAAACTGCAGAAGGAAAACAATCAGGGACATCTAATCACCTCTCAACAAAAGATTGCTCCAGACACTTCCAGGCTATCAAATGCTAATCAAGGTGGTCAATTGAAACATTCACACCTAGCGCCAACAGACAAGAGTCCTTTGTCCCACCCTGGTCTTTCCACAGATATATAAACCCATTTTCCTAGTTCCAACAGATCTCACTACCTTTGAGGATGCTTACCATAGATGCAGGCGAAATATTAGGAGAGAATGCCTCTTGAACATGGCCATATAGCCCGAAAAACCTACAACAACCCAGTGATTCTGGCCATGAAAGCCTTTGACAATACAATGTACCAGTTTTCTGCACAGCCCTCCTTAACATATCCAATGATGGCAAAATAACCCTTATTTGGACATAGTTATTTTCTTCCTAGAAGAAGAAAAAACTTATACTCGACATAGCCAAGTCTGGTTGGAAGAAGGGACTCCT